GGTACAGGGAGCAGCTGAAGATTATCCACAAATCTTTTTGTAGGCCACTTTTAGACCCAATCTATAAGCTGCCTGCCTCAAAGGATGCCACGTTTCCAGGAAATAAAAAATGTGGTTGTTTGTTTTTTTGTTGCGGTTTGTTGTTGTTTTTTGTTTAAATTTTGAAACAGCTTCGAATTGGGTAACTGGAATAGCAAATTGCTGCTGTTTTTTACAGGGGTGATTCAGGCTAGTGGAAAGCTGAATCGCTACGCTGTTAATATTCTGCCATGCATTTTGCATGGTAATGAACGTGGTACATGTGTGAGGATGAGGCGGTGGGCTTCGGTGTGAACACGAGACAGAAGTGAGCCTCCAAATAAGGTGTCTTAAAAACGATTTGCGCAGCGGAGTAGGGCATTCTGACATGCTCTAATAGATTTCCCTTCGCTCCCACTTAGATTGGTATGGCCGAGTCCAAATTATCAAAGCCTTTTTGAAAAAAGCTGTTTCCAAAATCCTAATTCCTGCTATGGAGCAGTCTGGGTCTAGAGCCTGGATTCCTTCCCAGTCTGTCCAGGGTGTCAGGAGGAAACTTGCACTTGCTTTAAGGTGCTCTATGCTTAATCCGGGCTATTTTTCTCCCCCCTTCCTCATTTCATGTGGCTGTGTGCTCTGAGGGCAAGTGCTCCATTCCTGCCCTCCTTCTCAGGAGGAGGGCAGGGAGCTTCATTTCCACAGTAATTATAATGGTTTTATTTAAGTTGATGTGTTACTGAATTATCTGAGGGCTCTCCGGAAATCCGTCAAGGCAGGTGGCTCTTGTTTCTCACGTGGCCCCTTTCTTTTCTCTCTGTACATAATAATATATTTTGCTCTTATTGTGAAGGTTGGAGCAGCACCTTTGCTTTGGAATCAGGGAGGCTTTTTCTTGAGCCTTGCAGGGTTTTACTCCCTTTCCTGGTTCTGACTGCTGAGATGCCTGTGACTTTGGTCGTCTGCTGCCTTTCCTGCAAGAGGGGTGATACCTGCTTCTGTTTGCTGCCCCACAGTGTTCAGCAGCCCTTAGGCTGGTCGAGTGCTTTAAAAGTAAGAAAAAGGGGAGCCCCTTAAATACAATCCAGGATCATCTTAGGTCTCGTGCATCCCCCATCTCCATGTTTGTTCCTGGCCTCCCCCGGGGAGCTTTTATGCCACCGCTCAGCAGTGCTCTCTGTCACGCTTCACAGGAGGTGCCCATGCCGACGTTTCCAGGCTTATTCTGCTTGTCTGTGCTTCCAGCTTTCTTGTGCGCGGAGAGAAGGCAGAGATGGGACATAGCCCCCTGGAACAGTAGTGTGGGGTGCGTTGGTTCTGTGCTCTCTGCTACCAGGATTTGGTAGGCTTTCTGGGACAGAAGTGGCAAGAGAAGTTTCTTACCATGAACTGTGGCAAACATCCCATTCTTTGCTTCATAAATCAACAATATCGATTTAAAACAACTATCTGGGCTTAAAACCCTGAATTTTTCTGATACTGGGGAATGGCAGCTTGCCACATGTTGTATTGCTACATCAACATCCAGGAAAAATCCCCGGCGTGCTGTTGAGAGTGAATGAGTAGTAATGCTTGATTTTGGCCAGGGTGACTTCCCCAAGTACTTGTCGGGGGCGTGGGGGAAGCAAAACTACTTCTGTGTTCTGCAACTTTGTCATCCAGACAGTAATCTATGTGTCAGAAAGCCATAGCTGAATTTGTGCTGCTTTTTGTTTCTTTTTTTTTTTCTTTCTTCAGGGCTTGCACACAGCTTGTTGAGTTGTTCAGGATGATGCAAGAAGTATTGGCTTTCTACATCAGATTTAGAACAAATGTTTTCTTGCCAAGTGGCTCTCTGAGGCGAGGAGAGAGACTGCTGCAGTTGCTGTGGTTCTGATTAAATCAAACAAATGGCTGCAGCGCAGTTGGTGAACAACAAGAACTTTCTTTGAATGCTGTCATCTTCGGTGGCGTCCTTGTTGCCTGACTGGTCCCTTAGGCAAACGCCAGCTCTCACCTGTATGCCATCCTACGGGAGTGACATACTGAGGCTGGTCTGCGTCGGGAACCTGAGCTGGCCCTGTGTATGGCTCGCAGCTGTTACAGCAGCCAATATCCAGTGTCTTGCTGGATTTGGCCCTGACGGAAACATCTGTGATCTGTGTAACCGTGTCTGATGCGTGGACAAGGGCTGTGTGTTTTTTGCGTACGTGCGTGACACAGTCTAGTTGAATGTGTCTGTCATCTCTGCTTTTAGAGGTGGAAGTGTCCGTCCGATGCCTACCACTCGGACATCAGCGAATTCTAATGTATCGATGTGTGTTAGAGGAAAAGTGTTCCCAAATAAAACTGCCTCTCCCCAAGCAACAAGTACAGGACACATCCTAAAGGATGCATCGAAAGAAGTTCTCTGCCGATTCAGCACAGTCTGGTTTAATCTTGTTTAATTCTGGTTAAACTTAACTAGTTGACTCACTGGTAAAAGGAAAAACAATTCACAATTTTCTTATTGTCTGCGGTGTTAAAAAGTACTGGCTAAGTTGTTCTTATTCGGTTGTTTGGGGTTTTTTATCCAACAGGTTACTGGTCATTTAGATGACTGCGCCTGTGACGTAGAAACCATTGATGCCTTCAACAACTACAAGCTTTTTCCTAGACTGAATGAACTTCTGGAAAGTGACTATTTTAGATACTACAAGGTAATTTTCTCATAGAAGAATTGTATTTATTTTGTGTGCTGCTACCTTTTTTTTTTTTTAAATCTCCTTTGAAGTTATTGCTGATCTTTTTAAAATCAGATACCTACATTTTAATTCTGATCTTTTAAGAACGCAGTCAGTAAGTGGGACTCTTCTATTATCAGGAGAATCTTAATGTGGTACAACATGCTTATAAAATGCACAATTTTAAAGATATTTTCTTACGCGTTTTTTCCCCTCTTAAGACCTTAGGCAGTAGACCAATGAAATGACTTCTTTTGTTGAGCTGTGGCTCAAAAATGTTGATGACTGGAGATCCACATTGCATAATGAGAGTATTTATAGTGTGTCTCCATTGCCGTGGAAAGCCCGGTTTAGTTGTCAGACGTTCAGGTGAATTGACGGCTGTTGCTGCCAGACCGTCATCATTAGATGGATTCTGCTCCCATTCAGTGAGATTGCATGTACGTGACTAAATGTGGGGTTGGTTTGGGTGTGTTTGGGTTATGGGGCAGTATTTTACCTGCTGCGTGCAGGTGCTGAACAGTGACTGCTGCCTGATTGTTTCCACAGACAAACCAAGTATTTGCTCTTCTGTAACAACAGTTTAAAAAGTTCCCAACTTCACTGCACTGAAAAGTGGAACGGGCCCATGTATAAAATCACTGGGGTAGAGCTGCTTTTCCCTGCTCCCCCTCTCTACCAAACCGACAAAATCTCGTTAAATTTTAATTGTTTTGGAAGAGAGATACTTGATGCCAACTCTCAGAAAAGAAAGAGTAGGACTTGTTAAAGAAGTTAATATCCTTTCCCCTTCCAGTGTTGGGATTTGTAACAGCAATACTAAGATTGGTCTGAATGAAGCACGAACAGAAATATCTGTGTGTGAAAGCACCAGAAGAAACAGCAAAACAAGGATTAAATTAATAGCCTGTACTGATAACAAGGACGTGAGCGATAGCAATCAATCTGGTAAACACCAAGGAATTATTTGTTCCCGTCAAGCCCAGAAGGCTTGCACGCCAACAGATGACTTGACAACAGAAGACCTGCGCTCTGGCCACGGGAGGATGGCAGCAAGGCTCCAGCACGTCCTCTTCCTGCTCCTCAAACGGGGAGGCAGGCTCTAGTCCTAAGATTCCCAAAACAAGGAGACAAAATCAATGGGGAGCAAACTTCCCCTAAGGTTCACGGAGACTGACATGAGCAATACTCCCCAAAGATTGCCCCATAGTAGCTGTTGGCTCCTAAAGGGTACAAACCACCGGGCCAAAACCCAGCTTGCATTGCTCAACGGGAGCCTCAGGACACGATTAGGAATCGGTGGCCTATGCATCTTGTCTCCCGTGTCACTACAAACACTCCCAGCCAGGCTGCATGGGCCCACACATCTCGTATGAGAGACAAGTGAATGAGTGCGGTCAATTTTGTTGAAGATAAATGACACTGTTGCCACTCTCGCTGCACTCCACCTTGCACTAAGTTTTGTTATCTGAAGTCTTGCACTAAGGCGCTGAAGATGTGTGTTGGTAACTGTGGTGTGGAAGGTTGGCTTGGTTCCGTGGAGGAAATGTGTAATGGGATAATCTGTTCTTTGTAGGTAAACCTAAAGAAACCTTGTCCTTTTTGGAATGACAACAGTCACTGTGGAATAAGAGACTGTGCCGTAAAGCCCTGCCCATCTGTAAGTACCAAATCCATTCTTTTACTTCTTTTCTATATTTGGCTTTTGCAGACCGAGAGGAAGAAGCAAGCAAATGACTTACTCTTGTTGTTATTGTAGCTTTAGCAAAACTGTGGCTCTGATGGAGCTTTCTTAGGTGCAGTAATACCGGTATCCATGAGAAAGGCCAAAATACTAAATTCTGAAAGTTTAAAGAAAGGCTAGGCTTTTAATAGCTGACCCACCGTGAATAGCCAAAAACTCCTCTTGGTCCCTCTTTTATTTTTGGTGTTAATGAGATGTTTTTTGAGCAAATCCACTGTTGTTACAAGAAGCGCCTCCTGTGTTAATTGCCAGGATATTCACCCTGTTGGCCCATCAGCTACACTGCGATTTGCAGTTTTGGCTGACGATTTGCCTCGGCCCTTTCCAGCCCTCTCTCTTTACGTGAAATGGCTCTTTCCGAGTCCTCTGTTTCTCAGGACAAAAGCAAACACTCTTGTCCCTGTATCCTGGACAGAAGGGTTTTGTTCACTGATCTAAAAGAAAACATCTTGACTGCAGGTGTCTGCCTGAAAAGAAGGGGCCGAGAGAGTGAGTGAATCGGAACTTGGTCGCTGGGTTGATAGAGGTGGTGACAATACCACCCAGCCTGGCTTTGTGGGTTGGCAGCCAGCAGCAGACTGTCTTGCACTCCCATTCCCGGGTCTCTAGAGCAGTCAGCGTGCACGCTAATCGTGCGCAGGGGTACACCACGCCGATGGGGCGATGAGTGCTCTCGATGAAAGAGGCCTCCTGACGCTACCTGCATGCGTTTTTCCAACTCACTGGTTTATTTTCATGTATGATGTAAAGCGTGCTGCAGGGAATCGGGTGTCTGTTCCCTTCTGCGGTAACCTGATGTAGTGTAGCTGTTGGCTGAAAAAAAAATCTAAGCTGATACAACACCTTGAGAGAATCTGGTACAGGTGTGTGTGTGGGCATCAGTTGTTACATGAATTCTTATATATATATATATATATATATATAAAAATGTTAGATTAATCTGTCTTCTCAGCATCTACCCTACCCTTCAAACAAGTGTCCTTTGCTTCCCTAGTCTTCAAAAAGCACCTATTATGCACCCAAAATGGAATGATGATATTTTTTTTTTCTTTAAAATAACCCTAAATTTTGTTTAAATACTTTTTTCCTTAAAAAGGATGTTTTTGGTAATGATAATGACCAATGTGACGGAGTAGTGTTACAATTACATTAGTATTAGCTAGAAGTTGTTCTTAAAATAAGAACTGACTGTGTCACTGCTGGTTTTAATTATTTTGATTTGGGTCCGTTTCATTCTGAAGGCAGCAAAAATAACTCTTATTCATTGCTTAATTTTTCTCTTCCTGTGCTGTTTGCCATCATAGTATTTGCTCCTGCAGCGTAGAAGTGGTTTTACTGCCTTCCTGCTGCTGGA